ATATGCAACATGTGAAAAGAAAAAAAAAGGCATGAAAGAAACATTGCTTTACAAACCTTAAGACTTAATAAAAAAAATTAGATATTTTGTGTATGAAAGCATCATAATGTTTACTGATAATCTACCAAATTTCATCAACATTCGCTTACTAATTTAAAAGTTATAGCATGAAAACTATAACAAGCACAGAATGGTTACGAGGTTGGTCCCAGGGACCGAGCCAGTGCTGAAAGGGTTAATAAAAGAGTTAATAAAATATTTTTTATACATTTATTATTTCTATGAACTTCCAAAGTAGCATAATGAAGCTAATAAATTTGGGACTGTATTTTATAATTGTAGTACATTAATATGAGAATTTCATACTCCTTGAATATTTTAATTTAAAAAGTTTTAATTATGTTTATTCAAAATAATGGCAAAATATTTTTTTATTGCCACTAGGCCACTTCTTCTACAAGGTAGCATATACATTATATTAATAGTAAATAGCATTATCTGAATATATAAGAAAATACTAAAATCTTGTACAATTCGTAAGAGTATGTATATAATATACAAGTAAGTGGTTCACGTTTATTGGTCAAACAGTTTATTTCATGGATTGTAAGATTTTACAAACCACAAAAATATACGTACATAATACATAATTGAGAATTTTTAAGGTATCTCTTAGGTCTGTTTGAAAAACGTTTTAATAATGTGTAAGATTATTTATAAATAAGGAGTAAATATGCAAAGAGAATCAGCATATGATGACATGGCTTAAAACTCACCATAGAATTATTTGTGGAAATATTCCTCTCATAGAAACAAATTCTACTCTTATAGTATGCTGTAGAAGAATTATGTGGTAAAAGATTTTATATTGTTTAATTTTAAATTTTTTTCTAGACGATTGCCTTGTATGCATCTCTTCCATATTGACTGCGTGGACCAGTGGCTCATCACCAATAAACGCTGTCCAATTTGCCGTGTGGATATAGAAGAACAACTCAAAGAGTTTTCCTTGACCTCCTGACTGATCCGTCCCAAGCCAATGAGTCGCTAAGTTTCACTTGCTGCTCCATTTTAATAACTGCCTTTATCTGTCTTCATCATGTTAGAGGTATTCGGGTTTGGTTGGACAGATTAATTTCATAGTGTCAAGCCTATCGTGAACCCAAAAAATTTCTTAATTTCAAGGAAAGTTTTTCTGCTCCTAAACAAAATGAACAACATTATCAAATCTGATAACTTTTTTTTTACCATATTATTTCCCTTTAATTTCCCATACTATCAGTGTGAAAGTTCTCTTACAGTAGTTTGTAACTATTAACAGCCAAGAAAGAATTGAGGTGTAACTGCATATGTAAATCTAGCTGTCCTGTGCTATTGTTCTCATAATTAAGTTTTTAAAACTGTTACAAGTATTGATGTCATTGAAATTAGAATTTTCAGATTATTAAAGGTTAGGTTGTAAAGATATGCTTTTTTCCATCCCTTTTGTCTTTCTATTAACTATTTTCTAGTTTAGGTGTATGGTTCATGATGTTATTTGAGTTTTCAAGAATCTTCCTTTCATGTAGGAACTAAATTGTGATTTTCAGGAACAAAAGGAAAGAGATAAACACAATTAGAAAATGGATTATAGCACAGTATATTTAAAGAATTAAAACCTAAAAATATATCTCTAAGGTTATAACTCAATAAAGGTTACATACTTTTTTTCCTATTTGATTACAGAAAGTTATGATCATGTTTTGTAATTTTGTTGTTTCAAACTTTGGTTTTAGTGTAGTTTTGGTTGATGATCTTTCCCAAACCAAAAGAGGTGACAAAGTTCCTGTCTTGCCAAGGAATTGTTGTGTTTCCAGCTTGCATTCCATTCGTTTTTTGTTTTGTTTTTTCCCCTGCCTGGCATAGTGTACGATGTAATCAAAGCAAAACTTGCAATGTTGTTGTTATGGCAATGTCTAGAAAACCAGGAGGAGTGCATTTCTAGTGTTGTTTGATTCTCGTATTTTGTTTATATATTTTCTGCCCATATTCAGCATCTATTGTGTGTATTTTTTTTATTTTTTTTATAATAGGTGCAACAATGATTATAATAATGCTTTTAGATTTTACAAGTTTGTTTTATTAGATGAGAGATTGGTCATTTATGTGGAAAAATAACTGTGTGAAAAACATGAATTGTAATGATCAAAAATATTTAATATTCCTCTATTTCTTATTTGTTTTTAAGGAGGAAATTATATTCTATTGAAATTAAGATAGGTTGAATTTTGCTTTAATCAAGTACAAGATGATTTAATTTTTTTTTAATTTTTGGCTCTTAATGGTGAAGGCACCTCTAAATCTTTCATCACATATTCCATGTTCCTATAAATATATTTTTACAGGATAAATGGGCATTAAGAGCCTTTTGTAGTTAAAAGGTTTAAAAAATATCAGATACAGTGTTTCATAAAAGTTTGAAAGTGGTATTTTTTTATATTATGCTTTATACTTTGAATGATTTTTTTGCATGTGCACAACTTTTATTTTCATTAATGTTTGTCTTGTTTTATAAAAACTGCATTTCTATTGCCTGGATTGTGTGGTTAGTTTTCATTCAGTACAGAAAATTATTTTATACTTATTTTAATGATTTTGGCTCTGTTTTCTTAATATGATGATTCCTAATAGGAACATCTAGCAAATAAAAAAGAGAAAGGGATCTGACATGCATTTAGAATTCTTTAACCATTTAATTCAAGATTATAAAAAAAAACACAAAATGATTATATACTCAAAATATTTTTTACACGCACTTGAAATATTTCAAACAACTTTCAGCCTTGGGAAACACTTTTCTTTATTTGACACTTAATTTATAAAAAGAGAAACATTAGAATAAACATTGTTTAATTCTTGTAAAAACCATTACAATAGTATTTTTTTGAGTTGTTATTTTGTAAAATTAAGTCAGTGATAAGCTTGTTTGTTAATATTAGCTTTTAAAATGAATCCTCACTGAAATTGGAGTTTTCTTGGATTTTTTTGTAATTTCATTATTTTGTGGAAATAGTGAATCCACTCATAAGATAATTACATGATAAATTGGCAAGTTGTCTTTGGTATACGTGTATGGGACATCGACTGTAGACTGATAAGCATGATGAATAATAGAAAAAGAGAGAAGACTATTGCTATTCAGCTTTTTGCTCCATTCCTTTTGACACTGAACAATGTTTTTAATTTCAAGAAACAAACAACAAAAAATACAATATAAGTATCCTTTATTGTTGGTCTAACTGCTGCTTATTTGTTTAAACGCTTTATTGAATCATCTTCGTAGATCTTTCTTCTGTTTTTACAAATGTCCATGTAGCTTCTCTTCCTTTCAGCTGTTTATATAGTTTTTCATCTCTTTCTCCAAATGTTTATCTTCTGTTTTTTTCAGTTATTATCCAGCTTCTTTTCTGTTTGTTCAAATGTATATAAATTGTTCTTCTGTTTTTTCTGTTGAACACTTTTGTAGCCAAAACCAACAATAAATGAAATCCTTAAGAATACTATATACATTTTAATTATAGATAGTGGAACACAGTAGGTTTTAATGATGTTGAAATGTTATGTTTATGGTATGCAACAATAAATAATGCATGAACAGATAGTAATTCACTAAAATTTATTGTATTCATTGTTGATAGTAAATAAATAAAATATAGTACAAGAACATGTAGCTGAAAATTTGTCACTTGAGAAAAAAAACTGGATATAGCCTTAGGCTAATAATCATTGATAATAATTCATGAAATAAATTCTTTATTTTGTTTTTGAGTAAAATAATACATTATGGTAGGAAAGTTTTGTTTAGCTTTAGTTTATTGTCTCTGAAATCTGATTTGGTGTTTGTTTTAGAAATCTGACAAATTATAATAAAGGATGCTTGTTTTCAAGAAGGAAGAAAAATAGTTCTAGTAGAAATTAAACTGGCAAACTAATAGTGGAGTTTGTTTTTACTGATCCTCTACAGTAGGCAATATTTTTAACAGATAAATGAGGATTTGTGCACCCAACAATTGTTGACATGGTAAAGTTTGCAGAATGTTCACAATACACTTTGAATAGTTAAAGAACAACTCAACTATAAAAGGCTGTCCTGATGATAATAATTTACTTTGTTTGTTACATATCACATGATGTATATTGAACAAATAAAAATTAGAAGATTACATAACATTGACAACTCCTATTACGAGGTGTTCATGAAGATTTTATTTTTTTAAAGTTACCGGATAATTTACTCTTTAAGTGTAAAACATTAAAATTCATAATAGTTTATAACCCTGTTCCTGCATTTAAAGAACAAATAAAAATGCTTTACTTCCAGCTAAGTAACTGAAGATTCCAAGAAATTATATTCAGATCATGTTTTCTGTATGTACACGTGCAGTGAATTATAAGTGTGTTTTATCTTTCAAGATAATTGTTCACTGTAGTTTCAATCACAAGATTTGAAACTTTGTGGTAGTGTTTGTGTGTTACAGTGACTATAGTTCAACATGATGTTGCTAAATAAAGAAGTGTTAATAAGAGTTTATGCTTATTATACCGTATTGTGATTATGCCTCAGTTGTTTGGATTTATTAGTTTTATTAAGTTTTTGCTAATTTTTTCAGCCTCAAGAATTGTCATGATCAGAATTCCAGCATCTAATATTATTTAATTGTAAGTCTGCAGAAGGATGAGTAGATGTTAGTTATCTAAAATCTGTATCTTAGGTCATTATTTAATCAATAGTAAATCATAATAAATATTTGTGGTAGTTTGATCAGAAACTTTTTTTTCCAGCATTTAAGGAAGATCTTGATTGAAGGATACCAGAAACTAAAATTTTGGTGTGTTTAAACAAGTAGATTTTTTGTTTATTCAATGTATACAGAATTGTGCATATCCTCATGCTTTGAGAGAAGTATTATTTTGAGACTGTTGCCTTTCCATGTGTAGAATTAAATGTATAAACATACCAAGAACATGTAGTTTTTTTTTTTCACTGTGTACATAAATGTGTATATCCTCATGCTTTGGAAGGAATTCTGTAGCTTTAATGCTGAGTGATTACATTAACTATATACATAATGATTTTTTTATTATTTTTAGTAATATTATTATAGAAAAATACCTATCTTGCACATTTTAACTCTTTTAACAGTTCGTTCAACATTGTGTAGAAGTAGTTTTAGGGTATTTTGGCCAGTATATTATTATTGCTATTTGTGTATCATACATTTAGGTGCATATAAACATTTGTAGCATTGTTAGTGGATGAGTTATTCATAGATATGTTTTAATGCTTTCAAAATATACAATGCAATTCATAGAAGTCATGACATGGTGAGTACTTGTGTTTAAAATTAGTGTTTTTCGTGTTTGTTTAGGTGCTAAAGTGTTTTATCTATATTTTTGCGGAGCGTTAACATTTTTTTGCTATTCCTGTTTTTTCTATGTTTTGGTCATGACTTTAAGTGTGTTTTTTATTTTATCGTCATAATTTGTAGTAACTGTCCTTATTAATTTTTAGTTGATTATTATTATGGCACTTTAATAACTATTTTCCAGATAATTGTTGTTTTTTTATTTTCTGTGTAACACATTAACTCCTAAAGTGAAGCCACCCCCTACTGCCCTCATAAATTGTATGAATATTTGTAATAGGAGTGTTGCACAGCTGTTTTTGATTTATTTTTATCATCTGTTTAATACTGTTTTATGTTACTGCTTTACTGTATTTAGAAATCAGTGCTTTTCTCAGGAACTTTTTTTAAGTGTTTATGATATCAGAAAAAGAAATCAATAAATGATTAGATAGATAAAATGTGTATTAAGTTTTTGATTATTTAGTTATAGAAGTAAATGTTAAGGGAATCTTTAGATTAGGAAGGTTAAAGTGGAAAGAATCTACGTTTTAGCTGAATAACAACATTACTACAAAACTCTAAAACATGTTGCAAGGTATACTACTTTCCTGTATGGTTTATCTTTCAGTTACAATAACAATGTGTAACCTAAGGTTAGTATACTCGACTGTGAACCCAATGGTTTGCAGCTTAAGAGTGGTGGTCAAGTCCCACTATTCATTTAGAGTAGCCCAAGAGTTGGTAGCAGATGCTGTTGACTTGCTACC